GGCTTCAGGGCGCCGGGGTTTACCCCAGGACGACGGTTGTTGTTTCTGATGCTAAAGCCTTTGCTGTTGCTGTGGCAACTGCTGGACTTTGTGGTGTTGGAGAAAATGGCTTTTTTCTAAGTGAAATATCCTCTAATGATGAAAAACGAACAGAGCATCCAACTCCCTCTACCCTCTTCTTTGCATGGTTTTCCTGTTCCCTATGTTGCCTGTTTGCTTTTTCCATTCAAATCTCAGTATTTCCTCTCTCCTTGTCCTAATCGAAAGCCCAAACTCTACTTTTGTGGTGATTATATGAACGTGTGATTTTTGCAGTACTTTCCAGGGAGTGTAATTGAGAGGAGATGCAATATGCTGCAAAACCTTTTCCTCCTTGCCCCCCTCCCTCCCTCCCCACTCAAACACGGCATTTTCCGCTGGGGCCCGCATCCGTCTCGCTCCGCAGTGGTGGCCGAGGGGGCACGCGGCACTTTCAGGTACAGTTTGGTTTCCGTTTCTGGAGTAGAAAGCGGCACTGGGTGACTCAGGGTATCTTAACTTTGAGCTCCCAGGCTTTGCGATGTGAGCGGGGATCGTGCAAATGCGACATCGGCATATCCCTTTTTTAGTCCTGTTTTTAGTCTGTTCAGCTTTACGTGAGCAAATTATGCCGATATAGTTACATGTTGTTGCTTAATTACTTTTTTTTATAGACTGTTAGCTGTGTTGTTACGTATCCCGGTGAAGATGAGGAAGTTACGCTGCTAGAAGGATGTCTTTGGGGAGCAAATTAAAACGGAATTACCCTCAGCTCGGAGTAACTGCGTTCGCGTGGGGCGTTTCATTTACCAGCGCTCGGAGCGGTTTGCCCTTTTATTTGTGGCAGACAGGACATAAACGTGTGGGATTTTTTGTGTAGCCGAGCGTTGTTCAACTCTTGCCCGTAGAGCATGACACTTGTCAGATGGCTGTGGCTGGCTCGATCGCAGGTGAGCAGGATTGTGCCATCTCGAGCGCTCCTCTGACTGTCAGCACCCGCGAGGAGGCCGTGCTGAGTGCCGTCAGAGCGGATAAAATGTCAGATCCGTTGCTGTTCGTAAATGTTTATTATCAATAGGCAGCTGGAAATGTTACATCTGAAAAGGTAGAAACACCTTGAATTTCAATAGGCTTACATTTTTGGGAAAAAAATTAAATGCTTTTTTTTTTCCTCCAGTTTGCAGATAAGCTAAAAATACACATAAAATAATTTTATTTATTATATACATTTTATTTTTACACGTTATGCGTGGGAATGACATGGAATCTGCACTACGGACGGAAAAGATGAAGTAGAAAAGTACAGAAAACTAAGCATTAGTTTTTGCTTTTCTTTTTTTTTGCACAAAAACAAAAGTTTGTTTTTTCTTTTTTTTTTTTTTTTTTTTTTTTGCTTTTTGCCTTCTCACCCCCAACTCGCCTTCCTCTCGGGGCGGCCGTTGCTCCTCCGCGGGCAAGCGCAGAAGTCCTCCCTCTGCCTTGACGTGAGCAAAATTCCTACAGCAGCTAACAGCTTTTTTGCCTGGAAAAGGCCATGACGTCTTTTTTTTTTTCTTTCTTTTGGCCCAGAACTAGAAAAGGAAGAAAGCCTCACCTCTTTGTCCCGCAGAGTAAAATGTCATTTTAAACGCAGCGCCGCGTTCGGTTGCGACTCGCCCTCGAAAAGCCGCCTGGCTGGCTGAGCCCGCCGGGCCCTCCGCACCACGGTTTCCTCCGCCTTGGGTGACACTGCTGGTACGGAGACGTTTGACACGGAGCGGGGGGCAGCGGCCCGAAGGAGGGGAGCGCCGAGCGCCCCTCGGTGGAGGGGGGAGCGTTAGGTCGACGTGGCTTTTTAAAGCCGTGGGTGGTTGGGATTTTTGGTTGGGGATTTTAGTCGTTTGTTTGGCACACCTTGGGGAGGGGGGGAACAAACAAACACACGGTGAAAGTGTTTCCCCGACGTATAAAGCACGGGCGAATACTCTGAAGATAAAGGACGAAACGCTTCTCCTGCCGTCTCAGCGTACTTTTTTTTTTTTTAGGTAAAACGCTTTTTAAAGAGAGTCGTTCTTGGCCGCGAGTTTACTGGAGCGCGTTAGTTATTCTGGGCTGGGGGGTTTATGCGAATAAAATATAAATGACTTGTTTGTACCAAAGTAACGGTCTGAAACAGGGAGAGAAAGCAGCGTGAAAACCAGATTAGACTACGTTACGCGTGGCAAGAAACTGCGTTAGCGGCTGGCCCAGGGCGCCCCCCACCTTCGCCCCCCCCCCAAAAACCCCAAATCCAGTAAAGGATGGTTTTATAGCAGCTGGGTTTCAGGTAGCCGGCCCGCTAACAAAGGAAAGGCGGGTGAAGAGAGCCGTCCCAGCTGCCCCGTAGGGCTCCCCCAGCTGGACACGCTCCCGCTGCCAGCGATGGGGGCACGCGAGCGCCCAGGAGGCAGCTGCGGGCGCTGACCGATTTCCCTCTCTTTAAAAGGTAAGGTTTTTATATTTATACATGAATATATTTATTTAAATAGTCTTTAATATTTACAACGGCTGCTTCTGCTAGAAATTGTTACATGTGCCATTAGAAAAGGAGGATGGAGACGCAAGTACAGTAAAGTAACGCTAAGGGTGAGACGAAAGCCCGCGAAAGCAGGGGCGTGCAGAGCTTGGGCTTCCGGGGTACCCGCTCTCCACCTGCGGCAGACGTCCCCTGAGCTCCCCTCTTGGGCAACCGGGCTAGTTTTCGACATGGAAAACTGTCATAATGTTCATACCGTTAAACCCTAACCTGAAGTAGTTGTAGGAAAATAAAAGTACATACTACCGCTACTAACGTTACCTACTTAACTGTATATAGCGCCTTTAATCTGAAAGTGCTTATAAATAATGAACTAACCCCCCTGCGAGGTAGGTAAGTATTATTATCCCTATTTTACAGATGGGGAAACTGAGGCATTAGAGAGGCTAAGTGACTTGCCCAAGGTCACAGGTGAGTCGGTGGCGGAGTTGGGAAAAGACCCCAGAAATGCTCTTTTCTAATCCCGTGCTCCAACCGCTGTACGTGCTGCTTCGGCAGGGTCCACGCATACAAATGCTTGAATATTTACAAATAAACTGGCGATTAATTTACAAACCCCGTCATCCGAATAATCTGCAGAGATAATGTCACCGAACTTCTTGTTTCTGAAACGGCTCCTTTAATCCCCGACCTGAGCACAAACACCTGCTAGGGCTGCGTGGGGTCCCGTACCGGGGTGTTACTTGTCGACCTCAGAAGAGTGATCCTTTTTAGGTGGGCTGCTCTCCAATGCCAGGGGAAAACGGTACCAGAGGGTGGGCGGTGGCAATAAATAATAAAGCAACTTCAAGTGCAAGAAACCTAAAGAGAGGGCGGGTGGGAGATCAAGAGCTGTGTTCTTCCCAGTTCCAAAGTCCTTGTGCAGGTATAAGGATTATTACTGAAATACCTAGAATAAAGGCCAGGCACGCTGCAGTCGTGGGGAACCGTGCACCTGGGAGCACAGCCTGGAAAAAGGTTACCGTCTACATCTCGCTGGAGATGCTCAGCGTGTCCCGTCAGCTCCTACCCTGGGGCCTTGCACAGACAGCAGAGAGGTAGCTCACTCGTTTTTCCAAAGGGAAGAATAATTCTCCCCAAAACACGCTTTCCCTTTCATCACTTGAAAACAGAAAAATGCTAGTGAAATCCCAAATGCTGACTGCAAGTGATTTTAAACAAAGCAAAACGAAAACTGGCCGGTTTTGGCTTAAACAAAATGTTTTTGACAAGATGCTTCAGTTTCCCTCCCCTGAAGTTCCTGTTTAAGAGCAATAATGATAATTCACTAGCTGCTATACTGCCTTTTGCTACCAAAGGGAATGCATAGATGCAGTCAAACAGAATTTGGCCTTTTTGGGGTCCGATCTGACAGCTTTGTGAACTCCAGGACATATGTATTAATCATTTAGCCCAATCAAATACTTGTGATAAATTGAAAAGTCAGCTCAAACAAGCTCTTAGCTGGGAGCTAGGAAATGTCTGGGTCATGAAACAAATCCCATGGGAGACCCAGCCAAGCAGCCACATGACGTACAGAATATTATCAAGAGATTTTTGGGCACAGCATTGTCCATCGCTCCATTAAAATGTGTCGGTTCCTACCTCTGCCCTTCCTGCACGCAGCAAGGGAATGCGATTCGTGCTGTTTGCACAGAAGGGACTTGCCTTGCCCAGTGTCGCCGTTACATTTTTTGCAAGGGGAGGGTACTGCTGCAAGGAGTTACTTGCATTGCGTTTCTGATACCCGAACCTGTTAATGCAGTGCTGCGTTTGAGCGAGACAATATAATCGTAGCCGGTAGCAGTATGCTTGCGGTCCTGGAAAACTTAAAAGCCTTTCTCCTGTCAAAGGATATGAACCTGGACTGTATCCCAGTCTTGAACGCGGTTGGCATCACCTGCATAACCATACCTGAACTGTTTCCGCTCCCACTTGTTATGCAGGAAATACCGTAAGGGTTCGCTGGCCCCGTTGCAAGGAGAGTTCCTAAGCCGCAGAGAGGTTAGATGGGGCGTAAAATGGTTCAAGCCCTTCCCTCCACCCCCCGCTAGCAGCGCCTGCTACCGTGCATGTTTCCAGAAACGGGCTCAGTCACTTTGGTTTTTTAAACTTCAGGTTTTTCCTGGGGCTGCCGTGAGAGCTACCTTCAGTCGGTTCTGACCGCAACTCCCACGGATTTGCCTCGTGGAAGGCCGGGATGCTGGACTGCTTTCTGAAAGAGCAGCCAACTGCCTCTGACCCTGGCATCTTGCGAGCCTCCTTACGTAGCGCCTGCATCAGTTTGCTCAGTCTTTCCTACGGGAAGAGGAGATGGGGTTTTCAAAAAACCACTCTAATCTCACGGTTAGTGTACAAAAGCCTCAAATCTGTTGATACAAAAACGCCTCTCACCCCACCTTAACTTGCGCACCTGGAGGCTTAAATACTTAGGGCTGTGCCCTGCCCGCGAGCAGCAAGTCTGGTGTCGATAGCGAGCAGGGAGTAGCCAACGGTAGGTGGAGGTTTTCCAACCTTTATGGTTGCTGCTGCAAATGCAGTTCCCAACCAGGTTCACAGAAGAGCTGATGTATGCCAACCGCCCTGGAGCTCAACTCCCACGCACGCGACCTCTCACAGGGACGGAGCCGTAACGCGAGTGCGCGAGCTCCGGAGCGAGGCTTTTCCGTAAGGCAACGCCGCTTCTGAGCGCTCGGTCAGGCCCTGCTTCCGCCTGCTTCCTCCGAGGAAGCGGCTGACAAATAACAGCGCTGATGCGGGTGTTAAGTGCCAATCCTCTGTGTATCTTAGCAACAACACAGAAGAAAGTTCAAGTACCAGGCTGTTAAAAAGCATTGATTCAACCATTTTATCCTTAATGGGGTTGTCTTCTCCCCTCTTTGAAGCTCCTTAGGACAAATGCAGTGACACTGTTAATATTTGGACTAGGCCTAATGTAACTGAGGGAGGGGAAAAAAAAATCTACTGCTGGGCTCCTTTTTGTTGCACCTTAGAAAAGGAACCGCGGAGGCTTTCCAGGCTGCCAAACACAGTTTGAGCTGCTGTTGCTTAAGTCGCTTTTAAGAAATGCGGCCCATGGATCCGGGGAAAACGTTCTCCCTCTTTGAGCTCGAGACGCACCAGGAGAATGGCTTTCTGCCTAAAGCCTGACGTCGGCCAGAGAGGCAGCAAAAAGCGAACGCAGCAGTGGAAATGAGACGAGGAGCCTGAAAAACCGTATGTGAAGGGGATGCGTGTGCCCGTCTACCAGAGCTGGGCTTTCGTTGAGCCCGCTGGAAGGATGGGAGCCAGAGCGAGGTTTGGGCCTCGAGCAGCCGCAGGTGCGTCTGGGTCAGTTCATCTCTGCGCAACTGGCAGCAAGGCTGGGTGCTTCCACTGCCGGTCTAACCGGGAGGTAATTCAGCTCCCTACAAGAGGGAATTCGGTTAATGGGAATTAGGTAAATAAGGGGATTATAACGTGTTCTAGCTGGGTGATAAAAGGTGTCTCTTATTCAGTAAGAATTTACAACATGAACATAGTATACAACCTGAAAAAATACGCCTAACTGAATGAATTGGAGGTTGTATTGCTTAAAGAAAAATAAAAAGCCAGTTTTAACCTGAAATCCCGTCTAAGAAGATCTTCAGTTTGATTCGCAGCCTTCTGATGCACCAGCAGCGTTTCAGCTGCTCAGCGTTGATACCGCTCAGCAGCTCGTCCTGCTGATGAGGAAATCGAGCAGGACGCACAGCAGATCGCTCGCGTTGCGTGGCGGCGGTGTAACGCAGCGATGGGGGGATGATGGTAACAGCCCTCCGCCACCAACGTGTCTCAGTCCTGCAGGGTTCGAAGGCTACGGCTGCATCAGAAGGGAGCCCTGTGGTTTACAGTGACCTAATAAATGGTGAGACCTTTAGTTCAATATTTGGGAGTGTAAAAAAAAAAAATAAATAAATAAATGCAGATGGCTATAAAATAGGCTAACGTAACTAGAGTTTTACACTTTTTTTTTTTTCCTGTGGACAGAAAGGAAATCGTAATGCTGAATCAGGTGATAGCAAACCATGACAAATAATTAGCTAAGTTTTCTAGCAGGTGTTAGATAGCTTCTCTTATAACCGCGTTGTAACATGGTCTTCCTGCCCATCTTTCCACTTGTTTATAAACAAGTCACAAGCCTCTCCCCATGAATCAAATACATCTTCTGAGGAGTCTAAAAGTTTGGAATTAGAGGAACAAATACTGGAAGCACAGTGAAGGGAGCTGGTACAAACCACAGGGCACTCCTTGCTTTGGCCCGTGAGTCTCGTGTTCCCGCTGTAGTCCACCTCATTGAGGTTAATTTCGCTTTTGGAACAATTCTCTTCTCTCTCTTTATCGATCTGAGAGTATTTAATGTCTTGCCACATGTAGTGTGGCTGAATAACTCCATCTGAAATAGTGTACATGGGCTCAGAGTTTGGTTCAGGTACGTGTCCATTCATCTTGGAGAACAGTAGACCCAGTCTCTTAAAGGACTCTTTCTTGGAGCTGGAGAGTCTCTGAACTCTGTTTCCATTTCGGACAAAGGAGCGCTTACTGATCCCATTGCTTTTTGGCTTCTCATCTGCCATATCAATCCCAGACATAGTTTTAATTAGAGCAGATACATTGAAATCTTTTTTCTTGTTGGCTACATTGAAAGATACGCTCTTGGCTTTGGGTTTTTCTCCAGCACCATCCTCATTTGTATCATCCTTTTGGGACACCTCTGTGCTGCTGGTAGAATAACTTCTCCTCTGGGGCTTCCTGTTTCCCAAGAGGTCAAGAACTTCATAGCGAAAACTTGAGATGTCCTGTTTCAATTCCTAGGGCAAGAGGGAAAAATAAGTTACACGGAGAAGCTTTCTCTGCGACATGAAAGAATGATCATGTTCCCTTGGGTGAATTGTTCAAAGTTATGTAAATGGCTGATAACGAATCACGCTTACAAGAATACCGAATAAATCTTTCATTATTCAGTGATAGAAAAAACCCATAGTGGTAGTTCTAAGAACTGGAGAACTTCACAAGGTCTTTGTCCTCAAACGCTGTAGGACCAGCCTCCTTGAAAAAAATCCACCCTCCCCCCCCCCACATTCTAACGAGGACATTTATAGAAGTGGGGAAACAGTGTTGAAATGTATAAGTTTTATAGGAATCCTGTCTTAGTTGACAGTCCCAACTTTAACTTTGTTGACGAATGGTGGTGTGCACATCCACAAACCCAGACCCGTTCGTTGGCTCTGCCTGGGCTAGGATTTAGGAATGCGATGTTGACTCGAGTCAGGTGCTTCATTCTTGCCATTTTCCAAAGCCTCTGTCTGCATAAGGTATTGTACATTAAAATTTACTGAAGTGATCATATGAGAAAACACCTGAATAAGGAATATTCTCTGCCCAAAACAGTAACACATGCACATCACATGTAGTCTCAGCTCTAGCAATAGTCATACTTTCCACAGTGGGTTTCAAAATATTTTACCACGCTAGTAGCAACTTTGCGAATGGCCACCTGAATTAATGTAATTAGTGCTTATTCAGAAATAACGAATTACCTTGAAATTTTCTTCAGTTAACCCTTCATTGGTTTTGGAAGTTCTTATCATAGCTGCAACGTATCTTTTCACAAGATTTCTGATCACTTCCTGCAACATGAAACAATACGAGTGATTCAGCTGCTGCTTCAGACCAAACTTTGCTCTTAGTATGCTGCACTGGGTTCTTACTAACAGTGGTTGTCCTGACTGCTGGCTGGAAAAAAATCACTCACCCTTAGAAACAGAGCACCTTCTTGCAAACAGAGCAAACCTTTAGAAAGGGTTATATATCTTTCATCTTGAATGCTCAGTTTTTAAATACAGTAAGCCAGTGTTTTATACTTGTGTTTCACGTATGTAAAAGTCTGCCAGAAGAAAATTTTCAATGTTCTTAAATGACCCCACGCCACTTAAACTCCTCTACCTCAGTTTTTAATCTCAGCTGCTGAACGTTTTTCAGATTACAATCTCGAGTGGATAGCCTGGGTATCCTGATGGGCTAAGCTTGCCCTTTGAAGATTGTTTATCAAATATCTGAAAGCCAAGGGTGGCGTATGAACAGCAAACAACCTAAGGAACAGCTCCATAGGGTGACGTACATCCACGGGAACCCACGTCAGGCAGCCGCGAGTCCTCCGAGGACCGGGAGGCCTCTGAAGGCACGTTCTGCCCTACAAGAGGTTGGAGGCTCCTCACAAAGCTGTGGGAGCTCCTGCAGACAGAGCTGCAAGTACTGAATCATGCCTACGGCAAGTTTTCTAAGGGATCTCACTCCTCCGTGCTACTGGGGCTGTTTGTCCAGTCCTGATTTTTGGTAGGATGAAATCCTGTTTGTGCAGCAGGAGGCCTTTTTCCTCTGCGTTTGTATCCCCACTTCCTGTCTTTGTGTAAACAAACTGGTACTTAGCCCTTGCACATACATACATATATATTTTTAGTGTCTTTTTATATATTTTAGTATTTATGTATGTATGCAACCTGACATACGTTGCAGTTGATCTCTGTTTACAGAAAAGAGTACCCAAACCTTACTTTTCCCCATTCCATAAATAGTACTACCAGGTCTAACCAGCAAGCATTAAGACCTGCCCACACCAAAGTTTTACTGGGAGGTTTTTAAGAGTGCCACCTTCCCCAGGCACCTGAAAACCCCACTGCCGGTACCTGTAAACAGCGCTGTAAAGTCAGAAAGCACCAAGTGTCTGTTGTCAAAAGTGACTAATTATGGTAATCATCAACTCTAGATACACGTATTCATCAGAAAACGGAAATTGCCTAAAGACAAATTACTGATTGTTTTTGACACTATCGTCTGATATACAAACTAATATTCTGGAAATTTTTTTTTTCTTCCCAGAATGCTAGCATAATGCATCACAGAATTCAAGGGCTGCAGCTAGGGCTTTTAATACAGTTTCATCCTTTTGTAGGTTGAATTTAATGAGAACTTGATGATGACCAGGCTGACAATAAACAGAAAGAGCAAAATTGAGCACAGGAACCATGCCTCTTTCCTGAGCCTTCCAAAAGGGAAGAAAATCTCAAGCACTGTTTGAGTTGGGCTTAGGGATGAGAAAAAGAAAAAAAATGAAGAAAAGGATGAGGGGAACAATTCATGAGCGTCTCTGAAAACGCTGCCGAAGCAGTTTTCTGCCGGATGGTGTGACAACCCGTCCCCGGGAAGTCAATGGGGATGTTGCAACTTCAGCAGCCAGAATGATGATACCTAGAAAGTTTCCCACTGCTTCAGAGGAGGTGCCAGGCCAGGCCGATTTACTGAACCACCCCACTTTTAATGATGAAATGTTTTAATCCATGAAAAGCAAAATCCTCTTAGAGCACATGCCCTTATCAAAAATACACTCTAGAAGAAAGCAAGAAGTGAGGTATTAGAAAACAAGCAAGAAGAAGAAACAGCAAACAAAGACCGTGCTAGAGTTTACCTGGTAATGTTGATTCTGAATCAGGTTGTCAGCGTGCCGTTCCTGGAATTAAAAAGGCAGAGGTACGTTATCCATTTCATCCTGTCTTTAGAGCTCCCAGTGGCTCTTGGTGAGTTCCGATCCAGCAGGAACCTTCAACCAACAGCAGAGCAAGCGCCCGCGAAAAAGGAAGTATGAAAAAACACACAGCTGCTTACTGTGAATGTTTTGAGGTTTTCGTGCCTCTTCTGTTCATTCGCGGAGTCACTGCCTGGGCATAACCGCTTGTGAATCCACTTGCAGAGGTACCAGACTGACTTGGGACTCGGGACAATGTTAAAAGGAGGGGGCAGAGTGGCACCTTCGTCAAAGTAACTCATCCAGAGCTTCGTCCGGGCAAACTTCCATTCGATATCTGCATGGTCCTAGGAGAGAAGGAAACAACAGCAGCAGCTTCAGCGGGCTTTACCGGCGCAAACGCCAGAGGCAGAGGAGACGACACGTGAGCAAGAGACGATTTCTCCCGCCGCAGGCAAGGCAGTATCATTTCTTCCACCTCCCTCGTTGGGGGTGTACTTAAAAAGTCAGTGTGAAATGGAGCTGAGTGTAAAAATACCAACCACTGAGAAAAGTGGTGATAGCGATATTCAGCAAAAAGAAATCCACCTGCTCAAGCCCAGCTTCATCATTTAGAGTTTGTGCTTATTAGTTCACCAATAAAAGCAGCAAGAAAACACATTTCTTATTTTACCTTGTGTTAGCACTTCTGTTTTCACAGACTGTTGTTTCACCTGTCCAAATCCAATGAATTCTCACATTCTTCCCCAGGAAAAAACCCTTCATAGTTTTTGTCGATTTGTTTGTTTTTCTCATAGCATCTATTGATTCAGCCCTTACAGACTCAGTCGCAACAGAAATGATAGGTTTTACTGTGTGCCATATTTTAAACCTGGTGTCTGCATTATTCTTACACAAAACTGGAGACCTTTTCCTGATTCTTCCGCTTCTGTTGTCATGACGGGAGCTGGCTGTGCCCCAGCGCTCTCCATCCCAAGAGGGCAGGGGAGCCATCAGCATCGCTTTACGATTGCACGTAGGCACGAGGTCCAAATTGTCACCAGCAAAGGAAGCCTACGACTGCGCAAGACGCTGATATAGCAAAATTCCCCATACCAAGATGTTTGCAGTCTAGTCCGAGGAATTAAAAGGCCGGTCTCTTCAAAATCAGGGCAAAGACATCTACTGGGAGCCTCGATTCAATGAGATGCTGCAGCTGTTCAAAATGGATTTCATGCTGTGCGCTGGTTTTAAAGTTAAAAATGTCCCTGTTTCTTATGGTCTGCAGAAATTACAATTTTGGACAGAAAAGGAAGGAAAATTGTTTGAATCCTTCAAGCTAAACCGTGCTGAACACCGCTTACAATACTACACAAAATTAAAATGGTAAAGATGGGTATTGTTATCGTTGCAGAGTTTAGTGCTAAGCTGATGGCTCTGACATTTTAGCTGCTTAGCGTTTATGCTAACAGTATCTGACATGAGATTAAACCAGAAATGTGATTATCTATGCTAAGTAACAGCACAAGGTAAGAGAAAAGGCCAATGCAGAGAGATTTTAACTAGGCTGGAATGAGCAGACGCCTTGAATCAGCTGCTGAGGCAGCAGCCCTGAAAAGGGAACAGTAGAGAAAAAGTGCCCATTTTTGCCTCATATGTTACTAGACCCCATAAGCAAGGAATTGCAGCAAGTATCAGCACAAAGGACTGAAAAACCACCCTCTGATGCTTGTGGAGATGAAGTTCAAGGCAGTAAAAAATAAGTTCTGGGCAGTAGAAGTATGTGCAAAAAAAAGGAAAAAAAAAAGTCCTGGCGGTTTTGTCTTTAGTTGTCTTTACCTGGGAGCTACAGCACCACAGCAGAGCTGGAGGAACAGCACGAACGACTGCTCTTCCGTCCCTGACTCCCCGGTCGGCGCCCTGGGCTCTGCCAACAGCCCCCGGCCCACTTCTGCCTTGCACCCGCTGCTCCAGAGCGGGACTGCTCGTGCCCTGCTCAGCCCAGCGGCTAAGTCCTGCCCATCCTTCTGTTTGAACGTCTGGTCTGGGCGGCTTCAGTTATTCCCTTTAAAACAGTCTTGAGAGGAAGGAGGGCAGATGATCGGGAAAATCAGCAGTCACCAAATCTCTAAAGGCTGCAGCTAGCACGTGCTTTACTGCATCAAGTACGTGCAGCGCTTTGTAGGGGAATATCCAGCTCCTGCCTGCTCATAAATCCACCCTGCCCCTCTACGCATGCCCACCCCGGCTGCCAGGTGCTGGGAGCGAGGTGGGCGCAGGTGCGCTGGCTTGGCAGCCGTCTCCTCAGCCCGCTAGAAAAAGGGCACGTCCTGCTGGGGGGGGATCTTTTAGTGGTAGCTGCTGGGTGCTGCTTGTAGGGAGGGATGAGGCAAAGCTACAGCTTAGGGATTGCAAGCTAGTGTTTAGGAAGAGAGAACAGAAAAGGGCTAGAAGTTTTGAATGCATGGAGTGGGGGTTTTTTTCCTTTCAAAATTAGGCTTGTGGGCTTGCGTAGGGGCTAAATGCAGATATAGGGCAGTGCTGTGGCACTTGGTGGGGGTTTCTGATGGGGAAGGTTTTGTGGGTGCTTTGAACAATCCCTCCTAATCTAAATGTATCTCTGAGTAAGGCTGGGGAGTGCTGGCTTCAAGCTCCCTTGTATTTCTTCCCGTGCAGTCTTAGTCAAGCAAGTATAATATAGCCTCTTTCAAGATAGACCCTCTGTGCAAAGCTCAAGATACCTTTTCCCTCCCTCCCTCCCTCCCTCTCTCTGCTGCTGTGAATTCTCTGGGGTTCACAAGCTCAACTCGGTTCAATTATGCACCTTGATGTTTTGAGACCCTGAGCAAATCAGAAGAGAGTTCCTGGCAGCAGCTCTGCATTGGAAATGCCCCGAAAACAGACATTTCGATTTTCCTGAGAATGTCTTTGTGTGCTGGGAAGCCACCATTTTCTTTGTTAGAGCTCTGTTTAGTGCTCTCAAGTAGTGAGGTCTTGCGCACAAAACCACAGCTTTCTTAGCTCTCTTCCTGGTGCTGGGGACTGTGCTTCTGCACCCGTTCAGACCTCGCTCGTTCCTGAAGCGCTTGCAGGTGACAGCCCTGGCCGTGTGCGTGGCCTGATGGACCGTCGGTCATCCTCCAGGTATTTGGTGTATTTCCACAATGATGCAGGGGACAAGATTAAGATTTTGGTGAGGTGCCTGAGTCCAAACCTGCTCTGCATCAAAGCTCGGGCCCATTTAGGCCCGGGTCAGCCAGTCCCTTGGTCAGCTTAGGCCTGGCCACCACGTCCTCAGCTGAGCTACGTGGTGGGGAGACAAACCCCTTTCTTCCTAGAAGGCACAGTGCTGTTTGCAGCATATTGGACAATACTTTTTTTCATGACGTCTACAGTAAGCTAAAGAAACAGATCCACTAGCTTGTAAGTGTGACCTTGTTGCTTTAGTAATTTAAATCCAAGCTTGGATTTTGCTCTCCTCTCTTTGAGCTCCTGTTGTTCTTGTCACCATTTTCTTTCAAGCATTGCTCATCGTTTCAGCTACAAAGCACTCTCGTTCCAAGACAACTAAGCCCTCAAGCTCAAAGAACACCTGAACTCAAAGAAACCAGCACTCGGCTTCTTCGTGAGGGGAAAAAAAAGGCATCAGTTTCTATCACAATGCGAATGTGTCATACTGGCCACCTAATCCTTTTGCAAATCTCTGCCATTTGAAGTGAGAATTAATCCCCCATAAAGATCTCCCTGTGGGATTGCAGAAGCCATCTTACTGGAGCAGTTGTGAGGATTTTCTAATTCAGTCAAAGTGATGTATTCACAGATGTGCCAGATTTTAAATAATTACCTGCTACACTAATTACCCAGGATAATTTGAGCATTAATCTCCATCTTTGTGTAGAAAATCTGTTGTTTACATTTTGTAAAATGTTTTTTATCAAGATTCCCATCACCATCTCCTTCCTGGGCCGGATGGTTCTGATCATGCTTTGCCAAATAACGGCCAGGTTCTCAGCTGGTGGTGACCCAGCTCCCGTGGCCCCATCAGCGGACGACTTTTATTTCTCTGCATTTGACGGCTGCCACTACCACAGGATCGAGGTTTCTCAACCTGTTTGTGTATTTAGTATCTCAGCTCTCTGTCCAACAAGACAAGCAGTTACCGAAGCGTCTCTGCGCTACCCGGAGGGGCAAAAGGGCTTCTGCCCCTTGCCCTAGCCTGCAGAAGCGTGGTCGTTCCCCCCCCCCCCCTTTCTAAAAGCAACGTATAAAGATGTCTAGCATCTTTCTAGCTGGCAAAAAATGGCTGTGTGCACTTTTCTTGTATTTTATTATACAACAGTCAGTGGGCTAAGCTGGAAAGCAGGCTGCTGCCTGTCAGCAGCAGATATAGTAGCTGGTTGTGACAATGCCCCCAGGACCAGGCTGTCTGGCTGCAGCTGAGTGCACCGGGAGCCGGGAAGAGGAAGTCTTCCCGTTGTGGGGGAAAACTTGGCATCGTTTCTGCACCAAGAGTGTCAGGGCTGCTCTCTTGCTCTTGTCCCAGGAGGGGCCGCCACCAGCCCCCAAAGACTAGGAGGTGCCAGAGCCCAGTGCCTTCCTCTAGGAGGGAAGGAGGAGATGCACTGCTCACCTTTAAAAGGTGCTCTCTCGCGTACCTTGTTTGCACCCTGTTGGGTAAGGGGGGCCCATTCCCCAACAGGCACAGCCACTTCTAAGGTGCTTTTCTGCTGTGTAATTAGCTGAGCTGCTAAGTGTGGGAGAAAGTCACTGAACTATCTCGTGTGCCTCTCTGTTGCTCTTCGCAGAATAAACCAAGATCAGGGAAAATATATTCGCAATGGCTTTCAAGCAGGCTAGCGCAGCGAAATAAAGCCTTGTGTATTTTGAGCAGGGAGCGTTGCAGAAAGAGGGCCAAGAGAAAGTTAATCTTTGCAGGGCCTGACACAGACAACTTTTCTGCAGCTTGAAAGGTGTTAATTTTGTACTGTGTATTGGGCAAACTGGTAAAGACATCAGCAGAGCTGTGGGGTTGAATGGCAAGCTCAAAGAAGCAAGCAGCAAAATCCAAACAGACTTTCTGAGGTAAATGATGCTGAATATTTTTCAAAGAAAACATCTTTTCAGAGAAAACATCTATGAGAAAAAACAGGGACCTACAGAGACAATTAATGCATGGGTAATTCGGCTGCAGCTGACAACAAATGGCTTCGCTTTCAAAGACTGGGATGACGTACTGAAGGATAAGAACTTAATGGGATCAATCTCAAAAGTAATACAAGAAAAATTACTAACAGAGGACAGTCTTAACATTAGAAAAAGCAATTAGAACAGTCAAGGAATGAGACAGCCAACGAAGAGATGAAAGTAC